TCATGATCCCAGGGTCCTGGGATCGAGCCCTGCGTCGGGCTCCCTGCTCGGCGGGAAGCCTGCTGCTCCCTCTCCCACTCCCCCTGCTTCTGTTCCTGCTCTCGCTATCTCTCCGTCAAATAAATAAACAGAATCTTAAACAACAACAACAACAACAACTATATACAGCATATATAGTTCTTACATATGAACTGGTGGCTAAAAAATGTGGATAGTGTTAGTACTGAGACAACCATTAACACAAAACAAAAGAGACTGGCATGTGGATGCATAAAAGTTCTGTCAAATAAGAAAGTGTTTGGAAAAGGGATATAGATGGATAATGTTAAGCCAGCAAAATAAAAAAGACGTATGTGGACAATACACAGGATATATGTACCAAAATCTCAGCCAAACCACATAATGGGTTATGCTCTTCTAAATTATAACACATTAAAAGTTCCATATATTTCATGGCTTTTTGCAACTGATGACCACTTCTAATACAAAATCTTAGTAACATAAAAAATATTAGTCCATTATACGGAAAATTATGTTAAAAGTGACCCTTCCTGGAACTCTCATTCATTATTGGTAGGAGTGTAAAATGATCCGACCACTCTGGAAAAAGTCTGGCAGCTTCCTTTGAAACTAAACAGACACCTACCCTACGACACAGCAATGTCCTTAAAACAAGCCTGTAAAAGATTGTTCATTGTGCTTTATCAATAACAGCCAAAAATGAAAACAGTCCAGGCGTCTATCAAATGGAGAATGGATAAATAAACTCGAGTATATTCTTATAAGGAAATACTACTTGGTAATAAAAAACTACAGACACACATAACAACATGTATGAATCTTAAAATCCTAAGAAAATAAGTCTCACATAAAGAGAATCCATAGTGTATGACTGCATTTACATAAAGTTCCAAAACAGGCTAAACTTGTCACAGGTACAAAAAAAACCCAAACAAACTCACAGAGCAATGGTTGCCTGTGCGTAGGTGGGAGCAGGGTTGACTGTGAGGGGCATGAAAGACATTTCTAGGTGAAAGGAATGTTCTGATCTTGACTGGCGTTTGGCCTACACAGGTGTATGCATCTGTCAAAACTCCAAAAGATCTGTGCATTTCACTGTATGTAAATTCACCTAAAGGCAAAATCACGAATAAAACTGAACTCTGGATAACAGTATACACGCCAAGGTATTTATGGGAAAAGTACACTGATATCTGCTACCTGCTCTGAAATGTATCAAAAAACAGGCTGGACTGATGGATGGACAGATATGACCAAGGAAAATACTACTGAGAATCTAGGTGGTGGGCAAAAGGATGTTCATTGTACAATTTTTTCAGTTTTTCTGTAGGTTTGAAATTTTTTATAGTAAAATGTTAAGGTAATAAAAAAAAGTGACCTTTCCCATCCTAGCACTTCCTGCTATGAAATGTATGGAAATCATTAACCAAAAAGATGCTTACCAGTTGCTAAGATATACTGTCCATCTTTTGACACCTTAATAGTGGTGCAAACAGTAGGCATTTCAAAATCCTGAATAAGTTCAATTCTCCTGCGGACATCTATGAAGAGAGGAAACAAGAAACGGATTTAACTACCAAGTGCTTATTTTATTTCCTAAAAAGACAAAGCACACAGAGCAGTCACTGCGAACAGGTCAACAATGTCCCGGTGCTTCCAAGCCTTGGGAAAGCACATCCATACAGCCCCACCCATCACACAGGGAGGTTTTTTCTTAGCTCATACATTAGTTTTTTATTTTATACATTAGTATTTTATTTTTACTTTTTAAAAAGAAAAAAGTAAGACGAACCAGGAGAGACGATGGACTCTGAAAAACAGGCTGGGGGTTCTAGAGGGGAGGGGGGTGGGAGGATGGGTTGGCCTGGTGGTGGGTATTGAGGAGGGCACGTTCTGCATGGAGCACTGGGTGTTATGCACAAACAATGAATCTTCATCTAGAACTAATGATGTAATGTATGGGGATTAACATAAGAATAAAAAAAAAAAAAGAAAAAAGTATCACTACTTGGAAAGAAAAATGTTCACAATTGTGTACAAACATCCACTTTCAAGACCTGGATAAAGGGGGAAAAGTCAAACATTACACTGCTATGCTATCACTACTCAGTCATGGCTAAGACAAAAATCTTATCATTTTTTTCCTCCTAAATAATAACAAGCTTAAAATCCTCAAAATCTTAAGTTTATATAAGAAACTGCTACCAAGCTGACTTTTGCCTCTGCTGCCACCAGAGCTCTGAGCCAAGAGGACCCAGGCTAGAGTAAGATTTAGAGCAATCTCTCTGGATCAAAACTGACTCTCAAAAAACCTGGTTCGCTTCTATATGAATGTGTGGATTCTTGCCGGTTGTTATCTTAACAATGGGTCTACCGCAAGGTCCGTTTATGACTGTATGGCACATTACTGCCTTGTTTATTAAATTAAACCCAAATATAAGACTCAAACAGAGTAGGAATGGCCCACTCGATATGGAAGACACACGATAGTTTTGAGATGGGCTGAGAGAAAGAGCTGACGAACAGTTTTTTCCTCTAAGTAATCCAGATCTGCTTTCCTACGCGCTAGGATGCTGAAGTGGATGGGGGAATCAGAAGAAATCCGAATCAGTGAACATTACTAAGGCAGCAGTTCTTGTTTTCCTTTGATTCAAAGTTTTCTCATCTAACCTCAGTACTATCTATACAAAGCCTTCTCTTCCAAGACGCTTGCCTTGGGGCATTTCTCTCATACCCAGAAGAAACGCCTTCAACATCTTAGTCTTTGATTTTTAGAGATGAATTAAACAACATATATGGAAAGATAAATCATCTTTCACTATGACAAGCTGTGATGGAGAAAATTTAGTGAAAATTTGTTAAAAAAAAAACAAAAAACAAAAAACAAACTGATCGATGCCTTAAATTTATGAGTAAGGAAAGTAACAATTCAGTGTGACACCCAAAACCTCACTGTTAATGTGAGATCAATTTTTAAGCAGGTATAGGCTGCCCATAAGGTGACCGGCCTACTTTGCAGGATGCCTGGGAGTCACGATCTGCCTGTCCCCCTTAAAAAAAAAAAAAAAGAAAAAGAATCGATCTTTTATTTTTCCTGGTCACCATAAATTAAAAAAATCAAAATCTTCTGCAATGATCTTTTAGGAAAAAGATTTGGATACAATGGAGAACAAAGCAGTTATGGTACAGCTAGGAGAGACCATCCTCCTTAGGTCTCTTGCATTCCTGTACATCTTGCTAGGTACGGCAAGACCGCAACGCCCTGGCCATGCCTTTACCTGAGCCATTTCTCAGGGTTATTTGTAGAGCTGAGAACCTTGACAGGTAAGGTAACATGTCTCCTCTGGACAAAGAGCAGGCTTGCTTCCTGTTTGCTATAAGAGCAGTGGACTTCCTAAGCTCGGTGTTCCTCAGCTGCAACACAAGCCCCCCGCCGTGTGCCCAGCAGCCATGGGGACCCTGCTGAGTGCCCCTGGGGAACTCAGGGCAAGGAAAACTGACAGCAATATGCTGACACTCAGACCACCTGCTGTGTCACATTGAGTAATGGAGTCCTCACCTCCATCCCAGGAGTCACGTCCTCTGCTATTATGCATGAAATAGTAACAGGCTAACTAATCAGCTTTTAAGTAGGTCGAATTAAACCTCACACTCACCAGGAACATATCAACCACAACAAAAAGTTTCTTAGGAAGGAAAAGGGCAAAAAGTATATTTTCCACTGTATTAACCGTACTATTTTTGTAAACCTCCACTTAAATATAACAAGAAATGTGTAAAAGCACTGTAACATGGATCATGAATGTAGCCAAAGTGGGGGAAAAAATAATACTCACCGACATCTTTCTTCTGTAGTGCTCTCTTCTTTCTGTCAGAAAGCCACTTAAAGAAAATGAAGGGACTTTATTTCAAATTATATTTACTTTGTTTTTCTAAAGCTTACAAAAATGCTCATATTAAAAAATCAAAACCTTATAGGAATATATTAACATAGGAAGTGAAAATATTCTGTAATCCCAACCCTGTTAACATATCCTCTGGATTTTTTCTGGTATATATTTACATATATTAGACAATCAATTTTAGAACTACTATGTTTTACACAAAAGAAAACGAATTCATCCAGAAGGCAATAGCCTCAAATATTATGGGTTACAACTAATATATGGAGTAACTTTATTTATTGAAGTAAAATATTAATAAGTAACATATTTTTTTACAAAGAACAAAACTAGATCATTAACTAACCAAACAACTGATGCTTGATAATGAAGAAGTGAATATGACTTAAAAGTGAAGGCATTTTTAAGTCATATTCATCGACAGATTTTATTCTGAAATTAATGTTTCTCAGTGTAGCAGGCAGCGTAATTCCAAAGCCCAAGTCTCTCAGGTGGTCTATCTACCTCATCCCCACCCACCCTCTCCCCAGCTACAGTCGTTTGCACACAGCAGCCCAGATTAAAGCCCAGCAATGGCTTCCAGAAGCACTAACGATAATATTCTAACCTCCTACCTGAGCCTTCAAGGCCCACCTCTCCAGCCTTACCCACCCCCACTTTCTCCCCTCAGCATACCACAGTCAAACCTGTGCCTCTTCTGTTTCTCCAACATGCCAAGTGCACTCCTACCTGGAAACACTTACACCTTCTGTTCTCTCAGCACTGAAAACTCTTCCCCCATCTTCACATGACCGGCTCCTTTCCATTATCCAAGCTTCTGCTCCTACCACCTCTTGTAGAGAGGCCTTCCCTGAAGGCGTTATCCAAAACACTTTTCTCTGACCACTTTAGCCACAACGCACTCTTCTAGTCACACATCACTCAGAGCACTTATCATTATCTGAAGTTGTCTTCTCGTTTGTTCACTCATCCTTTTTCCCAACAGGGAACCTTATCTGACGTGTACATCCCAATCTCAGAACGGGGCTGCAAGCACGCAGTTACTTCTTAACAAATGTGTAGAATGAACAAAATGAGAAAGATCATGCTGTGTGAAGAGTAACTGGGAGATGAGGAATTATCTAGCCTGAATTCTGAAAAGGAAGAATCTAATCACTGACTCCAAATCTTTCAGGGGCAGACACGGGGAAGACCTACATTTATTCTAATTTCTTTTTTTTCTTTTTTAAAGATTTTATTTATTTATTTGAGAGAGAGAGAATGAGAGAGAGCACATGAGAGGCGGGAGGGTCAGCGGGAGAAGCAGACTCCCTGTCGAGCAGGGAGCCCGATGCGGGACTCGATCCAGGGACTCCAGGATCATGACCTGAGCCGAAGGCAGTCGCTTAACCAACTGAGCCACCCAGGCGCCCCATTTATTCTAATTTCTAAGGGCAAGAGTCAAACCAACACCAGGATGCTATAAAATGACAAGTTTTAAAACCAATATCTAACCAGTAATCTAAAAATGGAAATGAGCTCCCTCTCACTGGAAGTGCTTGGACAGAGGCTTGACCAAGACTTATAAGAAATAAAAAACCAAATCAAGGGCTTGATTTGATTGAGCTTGGATAAGCCACCCTTCCCATGACTGGATCTATTACACATTTTAAATATGAGAAGACTGTAAATAAATCACTATTTTCCCAACCCCTTCCAACTCTGAGGTCCTAAGACTGGATGAAATCAAGTTAAGGTCAGCAAGGTTCAGAAATACTGCCCTCTACACCGTAAATTCTGCAGATGCATTTTCTTGCTCACTGCTGTATCTCTAGAACTTGGCATACAATAGGCATCCAACAAACAGCTGATGGATGGGGCAGAAGTGTCTGTAACCAATCTGTCCACGCTTTCCTCCTCTGTGCGGCAGAAGCTGGGAACATCCCTAGAAGCCCAAAGGGACGCGTCCTCTGTTCTAGAGAACTTGACAAAAGTTCCAGCAAAGCTTACCGACCCTGATCACCCTCGGCCCAGCTTCTGGCGCGGGGACAGCAGCGTCCTCATCTACCAGCACCGACCAGCTCCCCCTGGGCACCGTCCCTCGCCTCCGGGCATCCCCGAGCCAGGACCTGGCCAGGGCGAGGCTGACACAGAGGCCAGGGCCGAGGAGAGGGGCGGCTGCCTTATCAGGAGGGGGACCGCGAAGTGCCTCACCTCGGGCAGCGACTTGCCGCAGCTGAGACTGTAAATCTTCACCTCGTTGAGGCTGGACACCTGCATGGCCAGGGCAGAGCGGCGGCGACCCGCGTTCCTCCCCGGGCCCCTCTCCCCGCGCCGCACGCGAGCATCAGAATCTAAGCGTGTCTCCGGCGCGACTGTGCGGCGTGCGGCGCGGGCGCCGGCTGATGACGCATTCCCCGCGCCGGACAGCCCCAGTTTCCGGAAGAGGGAAGTGGCGAGGCGAGCAGGGAAGCGAGTGGGGCTCTGGCGAGGCGACCCCGACACGGTGAGGGTCCGGAGCCGCTCTCTCTCTCCCATCCACACCCCGAACGTTAGGAAGCCCCTAGGGTCGCTGTCCTGGCCGAGGTGTCGCGGTCCCGACTGGGGCAGGCGGTGCTGGCCAGGCGACCGGAGGCCTTGGGGGCTGGGTCAGGGGAATCAGAGTGGACTTGTATTCTTTTCTTTCCAGTGTTTCAGCAACAATACATCACAAATAAATGCTTTTTAAAGCTAGTGTATTAAAAATGTTACTTTCGTCTGGATTTGTTTGACATTCATCCACTAAGGAGGGAAAGAAAAGAAAAGGCATACTAAGGAAAGTGGTAAAAGGAGGGGAGATCAAGGGAGAAGTTCTTTGAAATTGATGTCTTTTGAGACGGGTGTATGACAGTTACGACAGACGCAGCCCCTCACTACATCGTTTCCAGAAAGTTCGCAGACTCTGTTGATTGTCCAGTTACATAGAGAACAGCCTTTACTAGATGTGAGGACTGGAGAATTTTTGGCTTAGATGAAAAGTTAAGGGGAAAGTGTAGGTTAACAGCAGTCAAACGGGTCCCTTTGAAATTGTAACATAGTACCACGTCCCTTACATGTAACTGAGGTGGGTCATTTTGAGCAAGACTATATTAGTTTATGGTAGGGTGAGGACTTTTGGGCTTAGCAATTTTCTTTTTGTTGTAACTCTCCTCAGAGTTCCGGTCCAGATTCTACTTTCTGCTTGAGCGTTTCTTTGAGGAAGTATGCAGGACTGTCATCCTCCTTGGGGAGGCAGTGTGCCACAGTGGAAAGATCATGGGCTTCATAGCAATAATAAAATAGACCTTTTAAGCAAGTCATAAAAATGAAAACATTTATTTTCCAAAATGTGCAGGATGATTTCCAAGAAATCTTAAATAATTTTATACAAGTGATACTTTTATTTCCACAAATGTAAAAGCCCATTGATTATAAAACACAATAGTATCTGTCACTTATTAAGTACTCTGTGTTAGATAGAAGATATATAGACCTATCCTACTAATTTTTTTAAAGATTTCATTTATTTATTTGAGAAAGAGCACAAGCGGGGGTGAGGGGAGTGGCAGAGGGACAAGCAGAGTCCCTGCTGAGCGGGGAGCCTGAGGCAGGGCTTGATCCCAGGACCCTGACATCAGGAACTGAGTCAAAGCAGATGCTTAGCCGACTGAGCCACCCAGGCAGCCCCATCCTACAAATTTTGGTAATTAAGGGCCATAGGCCATTTCACTTTATTCAATCCTGTCTCCCACCAACCCCTAAATTTGCCTTCTCATTCATTAGCACTGGTTTCACTATTTTGGTTTTTGTCTTTGCTCATGCTAATCTGGATTCTGGAATGCCCTCCCTTTCTCCTTATATCCAGATTCCACCAGTGCCTCAAAACTCACCTTTTGAATATCTTGTTCATTCTCTTATGCTTTCACTGTACTGTATAAGTACCTTATGGCAATTATACCTTCTTGGTAGATTTTTGTTAGCAACAGACACGGTAATCTAATACACCCTACAAGGACAATAATAATGAACTTGGATGTAATGCTGTCCTGGAAGCCTAGGCTTGGAGGTTTCCTTCAGGTGCTCTGGTTTCCTTAAGTCACCACGACCTCTCAAGGCTAACTAAAATGTCGTTTTTCAAGAGCCCATAAAACGTCTTCCCTTATTAAACTTGGGACAGTCTCCTTTTATCTTCTTCCTCCCTCATTTTTATTACTATAGGAAAATGTGTAATGCACTTGTCTGACCACCCCCTCCATCTAGACTCCGTGGCAACTCTGGGCCTTCTTTTTTCTTTTCTTTTTTTTTTTTTCCAAACCCTGTGTCGAGGCCTTAGCACTGGACCTTAATTCATCTCTGGGTTCCCTGGGCCAACCCAATGCCTAGTATGTAGCACACTTTCAGTAAGTATTTCTTAATAAAAATGAATCGATTAATTTATCACTGCTCATCCTGACCCAAAGTCCTAATTCTTTGAACCACACAGTGTGGCCTTTGGTAATATTAAAAACAGCATATATCGTGGCGCCTGGGTGGCTCAGTGGCTAAGTGTCTGCCTTCGGCTCGGGTCATGATCCCAGTGTCCTGGGATCAAGTTCCGCGTCGGACTCCCTGCTCAGCGGGAAGTCTGCTTCTCCGCTCCCGCTTCCTCTGCTTGTGTTCCCTCTCTCTCTGTCTCTCTCTGTCAAATAAATAAATAAAATCTTTTTTTTTTAAAGATTTTATTTATTTTTTAGAGAGCGAGCGAGAGGGAAACAGCATGAGAGGGGAGAGGGTCAGAGGGAGAAGCAGGCTCCCCGCTGAGCCAGGAGCCCGATGTGGGACTCCATCCCAGGACCCTGGGATCATGACCTGAGCCGAAGGCAGACGCTTAACCATCTGAGCCACCCAGGCGCCCTAAATAAATAAAATCTTAAAAAAAAAAAAACCAGCATATCTCTATGCCAGATGATTATTGTTTCAAACATGTCCATTTCTACATCTTATGTCTCCAACAAGAAATGTCAGAGCTTTGACCCAGAAACCACAAACAAGGGAACACAGTGTTTTCTGCGAGATAAAACAAGGTGTTCTTGGTTCCTTAGTGCCAAGACAGCTCCCTCCCCACAGTCACTGGCCTGAGGGTTTGACCTACTGCTGCTCTCTAGGGTTACTTTCCACTGAAGACAGAACTGCAAAGCCGGGCGCCTGGGTGGTTCTATTGGTTAAACGTCTGCCTTCTGCTCAGGTCATGGTCCCAGAGTCCTGGGATTGAGCCCTGCGTCACGCTCAATGCTCAGCAGGGAGTCTGCTTCTCCCTCTTCCGCTCCTCTTGCTTGTTCTCTCTCTCTCTCTCTGTCAAATAAATAAATAAAAATCTTTTAAAAAATTAAAAAAAAAGAACTGCAAAGCACGGTGCAGTTTCTCCAGTGTTTCGAGTATCGTGTATAACACAAACAGTTCTGAGATCATACTGAACTTTGAATGTAGTGCTTATTAGATGCCTATTCTTGGAGCTAGGAGAACAGACTCCAGAGCTAGATTGCCTGGGGCCAAATCCTGATTCTACCACTGGCTACCCAGAGAGAGCCTAGATACAGTGAGTTAACTCCAATCTCTCCCTGCCTCTGTTTCCTCATTTGAAAAATGAGGATAATATGAGTACATACTTCAGAGGGCTGTTGTAAAGATAAAATGAGCATATGCCATAAATCAGTGAGTCCAAGCATCTATTTTTAACACCCCTGAAATGACAGTGTGTCTTGTGTGTCACGCGTGCTTAGTTGACAGATTTTTCCTCTAGTGGTACTAGATGTAATGGTGCATCTTACAGTTAATGGGCTTGCATTTATTTATTTATTTATTTATTTATTTTTAAATAGGTTCCATGCCCAACGTGGGGCTCAAACTCACAACCCTGGGATCAAGAGTCACATGCTCTACCAACTAGCCAGCCAGGTTCCCCCTTGGGCTTTTAGATTCAATAAAATACAGTAGAGATGGAGCACTCGGAACAGTGCCTGACATGGTGAGCACTATGCATTACTTGCTATTATTTAGTCCTGGGAACAAAAATAGTTAAAACTGTTTAAGAAAAGACTAAATTTAGGCTCCAAATAACTTAAATGTTCTGAGTTGCCATTTCAGAAACTTTCAAGTATTATCCAAAATGCCTCTCTCAGTTCTCTCCCTCCAAGGCCAATTGATCTCCAAATCCTTCTGATTCTACTTTTCAGATGTCAGATTCATTCTTCTCTGTTCCCACTGCCACAGGAGTTCAAACCTTCATCCTCTCTCACCTGACCCATTGTAATCCTTTTCTCTGGTGTCTGTTTCCCACAGGAGACAAAAATCCTCTCTAATGGGAAAATCTGATCAATCACATTCCAATTCAAAGCTCTATAGTTTTCCCCAAACCTGGAAGAACACATCTGCCCACTTTTGCTGGCCTTTCTGGCCTTCTAGTCTCAGTATCTGATGCTGCCCCTCCCCCAATCCTCTCCCACCCTGACCCTCACCCCCTAGACTCTCCAGGCTGAATTACCTACAGCTTGAAAAATACAAGACCCTCTCTCACCTCTTCATGCCGCCACACCTGCTCTTCTGACCCCTTTCAACTCCCTCTCTTGGCAAACCTTGGTCACTCCCATTCATCCTTCTCCATCTCCCGGAAGTCTTAAAGTATCTAATTTCTCATCAAACATTGTATATAATCTCATTGCAGTGTTTCTTAAGCAGGGATTTACAGCTGTATTCTCAAAAAAACCTTTAGGTTGTTTTTTTTTTTTTATTTCAGTGATAGTCTTTTCAACAATTGATGTAAACATCTCTGATTATCTGGTTGGCCATCTTCTGAAAGAAGTTCAGTGTCAATGCCGGGTTTGCATTTCATTTACAGTTCACTGGTGCCATGTGTCACTACTTTCATTGTCCTGGCTCAGTGATTAGAAGGAGAGGAGGATGGTATGAAGTAATGTGATAGGGACAAGTTTGAGTCAAGTGAAAGTCCAGTGATGTCATGGCCCACTGTGTAAAAGAAGGTTTTACGGTTCATCAAATAGAGAACAGCAATGGGAAGAATCAAATCAGCTTGATCAAGGAGGGGGCAGGGAATGCAAAAGAATTCATGAGGTGCTGTATTCCTTTAGCAAAGTGGCAAATGGTTTTCATCAAAACAGTCTCAATCATCATATTAAATTAATTTGAATTACATTGGTTTGAACTTTTAACATTTTGCTTGAAAATAACGCATAGGTTTACTTTGGTGTATAGTAACACAAGAGCTAAAACCACAATAAACTTATAGCTGGGTTTGTATTTATATATCTTCAAGTCAAACATTTAAAAAAAAAGTAAGTCCTAGCTGCAATGCAGTGTCCTGTGTTGGATCCTGGAACAGAAAGAGGACATTAAGGGAAGAATTCAGAAAATCTGAAGAAAATCAGTAGTTTAGTTAATAGTATTGCACGAGTGTTAACTTCTTAGTTTTGATAAATATGCCATGGTTGTGGAAGATGGTAAGAGTAGAGAGAGCTGGATGAAAGGCATATGGGAACGCTCTTTGGTGTATTTACAACTTTTCTGTACATCTAAAATTATTTCGGAGTGAAATGTTTTTTAAAAAATAAGCTAAGCCAATACTGAGAGTGAGATTTCTTTTCCCCTTACCTGAATGATCATTACTTAAGGTTGAAGAATTTGTAATTTTTTATTGACTAATCCACATCTCCATAGATTCCTAAACTGCAAGATAGAACATCAGATTTCTGATGAATTGGAAGTGTCTTGCCCTGTGTAGATGCTGCTAAGTGTATGTTGCCGGAATTAATAAGAATAAAATCACCAACTTCACTGCGTGGACGGTAAGCATTCTAATTTAATGCTTTATACAAGTCTCCTCTCTTTAAGCTTCACTGAGACCTATGGAGGAGGCAGGATTAATTTTCCAATATTGCAAAAGATGTTAATAATTGCTCCATTTATGTAAAGGGGTATGTGAGATGTTGAAAACACTGTTTTTTCAACTTTTCTGTAGGTTTGAAAGTTTTAAAAGAAAAACAAATTTGCCCCAGGTTGCATGAGAGAGACAGGATGCAGACCCTGCCTGAGTGACAGCGAGCAGCCCCCTCCTCCTCCTAGCCGAGGCCTTCCCCACCCGGGAGCCCGGGATTCCACGCTTGCCCATCTCCCTGCTTCTCTGCATCATCACTCAGGTTTGCCCATAACCCGTGGAGCAAATTCCCCTATCTTAAAAATGCCATTAGTTTTCTCTTGCTCTATAACAAACTACCACAAACTGAGTGTCTTAAAACCACACAAACATTGGCTCCACAGTTCTGTAGGTCAGAAGTCTGGCATGGAATGGCTGGACTTAGATTAAGGCAGAAACAAAGGTGGTGGCCAGGCTGAGTTCTGGTCTGGAGGCTCTGGGGAAAAAATCAGCTTCCAAGCTCATTCTTGTCAGCAGAATTCATTCTTCTGCAGTTGAAGGACTGAGATCCCTTGTTTTCCTTGCTGGCTGTCAGCTGGGAGCCACTCTGAGCTCCCAGAAGCTGGTCTCAGGTCCGTCCCCCATGACCCCCATTGGCAGCTCATGATATCGACGCTTGCATTCTTTCAGGCCACTCAGAGTGGGTCTCTCTGATCTCCTCCTCTGTGTCCAACAGAGAAAACTCTTCTTCTAAAGGGCTTGTGTGAGCAAGTTAGGTCCTATTGCAAGATCAACTGATTAATAACCTTAATCGCACCCGCAAAAATCTCTTCTGCAGTGTAACATAAGATAATATCCAGTCATATGCACAGGGGAAGGAATCACGGAGAGGTGATGGTCATCGGGTCATTTTAGATCACTGCTGACCACACCTGGATAGTCCTCATCACTGCCATTAATACCACCATCCAGCACAAGCTGTCTGTCCAGCCGAGGGAAAGACAGTCACTCCTCCCTCCATGCAATAGAGTCCTGGCAAACAGCCAGGATTTGACACATTCAGTTTGGTTAAGCACACCAAACTGTATTCATCTGCTACTATGTGCAAACACCACGTTTGAATTAAATTGAGATGCCTTCAGGACTTACTGTAAATTTTTTGTATTTTTGTATTATCTTAATCCTTCTTTACCCTTGATCACATGTACTATAACCATACTCACTCATACATTTGTTCCACAAGTATTTATTGAGTTATTACCGCATGCCAGGCACAGTTCAGACATTTGTCAATATGTCTGCTTTAGGTTGTAAGCTTCTAGGAGGCAGGGTTCAAGTGAAATTAAACATAAGAAAATGCTCTGTAGATGACATTATGATACCAAAATTAGTCATATCTATTACTTTCTCCATGAGCTGAATTGGCATACAGATTTCAGAGGGTATACTAGATAATGGTTCCATTTTCAAGGATGCATATGCACATTGGTGCTGCTCTTTATTTTTATATGACCTAATGTTATGCCTTTTGGCCATTTCATGTGGCTTGGATAGGAAAGAAAAAGGAATATACAGTTAACTTTTTCACTGTTAGAAAGATTCACTTTTTTATTTTTTTTTTTAAGACTGATTAATTTTGAGAGAGAGAGAGAGAGCAGGGAGAGGGGCAGAGGGAGAAGAAGAAAGAGAATCCCAAGCAAACTGCTTGCTGAGTGTGGAGCCCCACATGGTGCTCAATCCTACAACCCAGGAGATCATGACCTGAGCTGAAAACAAGAGTCAGAGCTTAACCAACTGAGCCACCCAGGCGCCCAGTTTTTTTTTATGTTTAAATCCACAAATGTCCAATGGTAAAATACACTATAGAATGTTTGATCATGGAAATTTATTCCCTAGTTATGACACATAATAGGCACTCAATGTCTGTTGAATGAATAAATGAATAACCAAATTAAAAAATGATTAAAGCTATATGCATGTTATTAAAAAAATAACATTTCATAAACGTTATTGATATAAATTTATTATTGTTTTCATTAATATTATTAATACGGGCATTTAATGGTCTTCAGTGAACCAGAATAATACATTACCTACACTAAGAACAAAGCTAAGCTGGACTTTAGATTAAGTCAGTTTGTTTTGTTTGCTTGTCGGATTTAGGTGATGGGGGTGGGAAGGAAGTTATCTTATTTCCACAAGATAATAGAATCCTGCCCTGAAGTCTGCCCCTGTTTCTTTCCTCTTTCTCCCTCCCCCTTCTCACGCATTCATCAGCCAAACATTTATTGGACCTGCTGCCAGGCCTTGTACGTGTTAGGAATAAAAGCCCACACTGCTAAGGAATCCCGGAGAGGGAGAAATCAAACCGGGGCAGCTGAGCAGTAAAACAGACTGGAAGACTTCTTACACTTGACCGCAAACACCTTCACTAGGACCGTGCCCCAAACCAGACCACAGTCATCACCCCACACCCAGCCCCAGACAGTGAGATGCTACCTCAGTAGACATTTCCTCCTCAATCACTTACATTTTGTATAAAGAATAGCAAATACGAATGTGCATGCATTTCCAGCCTATTTGGAAGGGGATATTTGGAGTGTTTAATGTATGGAGAATGAACACAGACTAATTATACTTACAGAATACCAACGGGTGATTTCTGTGCCTGAAATCCTATCACGACCTCTCCTTATGATGGATTGCTGGCTGACACTGTGGCCACAAGCAAATTCATTCCGTCAGAGCTCACAATGTTCTGATCTCAGTGGGTCTTATGCATAGGTATTCGTTGACTTAATTTTGAGGACCGAGTAACTGGACTACAATACTAAATACAATGTTCTGCCTTTGAAGAGCATTTAAAATGATCAGATTATACCAAAAGACAAAAGCCACTGATTTTAGGAAAAAGCAACTCATTTTCTGGATGACTTGCCTGGGCCTTCCAGAGCTCTAGGGCTTCCTGCTGTACAGGAAACAGACACAGTTACAAGTACGAGATGTGCAAAGGACCCATGCAGTTACACAGGACCCTGTGCTCAGAAAAGCTTTATACTTGGCTTAACACTCTGCTGTCACCATCATGAAATTCTTAATTTTTGAACAAGTGCCCCACATTAGATACCCTTTCTTATGTACAGGGCATAATGGGCACATCAAGGAGGGTCCCCTAACTCATTTGGGGGATGGGGAGGTTTTCAGAAAGCGGAAGGTACAGGGGATATCAGGAAAGGCAGCTGAAAAGGTGGGAAAGAGCTAGATCAGGAGCATGGTGCATTTCAAGTTAAGGCAGCTGGGACTTCGTCCTGGAGCTAATGAGCTTCGAGCCAGAGTGGCATGATTGGATCCGCAAAAGAGCGTCTCGGAGGCTGCTGCGCAAGCTAGCTTTGCAGAGTGCAGTTAGGTAAACAGTGATTGCGATTCTCTAAGTGAGTGAGGAGGAAGGCCTGCATTCTGCAAAGTAGTAGTAGGGAAAGGTAAGAATGGATTCAGCATACATTTAGGGAGAAAAATCGGTAGGCCTGTGATTGTTGTTAAAGCTAAGGGAGAGGGCCACATTCAGGGTGCCTCCCAGTTTCAGGGGCAGGCATGATAGTGTAAGAGCAGGTTAGGGAGGGGTGCGAGAGATAAATAAATAATTCAAGATGAGATTTATTGTTAAGACGTCTATTCTCATCACATTAATCTCCAGATTCAAGGCAATTCTAATCAAAATCCCAGTGAGCTTTTTTTTTTTTTGTAGAAATTGACAAGCTGAAAATGTGTAGAAATACAAAGTTTTTTTCCAAAACACTTTTGGAAAAAAAAGTTAGAGGACTTACACTACTGATTTTAAGACATACCATAAAGCTATGGTAATCAAGATAGCTTCTAGAGTAAGAGTCAGCAAACAGATCATAGAAGAGAATAAAAAGCCCACTAATAAACCCTAATATGTAATTACCTGATTTTCAACAATGGCACCAAAGCAATCCAGTGAGGAGAGGTAATTCTTGTCAACAAACGGTGTTGGAGTAACTGGATCTCCAGACGGGGGAAAATGGACCTCGAGTCCTACTTCACACCATACAAAAAAATATGAATTCAAAATAGATCATAGATCTAAACATCAAAGTTAAACCATTAAGACTTTAAAAAGGAAACACAGGTGGGGCGCCTGGGTGGCTCAGTTGGTTAAGCGACTGCCTTCGGCTCAGGTCATGATCTCAGGGTCCTGGGATCGAGCCCCGCATCGGGCTCCCTGCTCGGCGGGAAGCCTGCTTCTCCCCCTCCCACTCCC